CCTGTGGTCCCAGCTACTTGGGAGGCGGAGGCAGGAGACTCGCTTGAGCCCAGGAGTTGGAGGTTGCTGTGAGCTGTAATGCCATGGCATTCTACCCAGGGGGACAGCTTGAGGCTCTGTCTCAAAAAAAAAAAAAAAAAATAGCTGGGTGTTGTGGCGGGCACCTGTAGTCCCGGCTGCTTGGGAGGCTGAGGCAAGTGGATCACTTGAGCCCAAGAGTTTGAGGTTACTGTGAGTTATGACATCATAGCATTCTTTTGGGGGCAAGAAAGTGAGACTGTCTCAAAAAAAAAAAAAAAAGAAAAGAAAAGAAAAAGAAAGAAAGAAAGTCCTTCTCTGTTCTTTTCATTCTTCCTGTTTTCTTCAGATTTGTTTTTCTCTATCTTTTTCTAGGAGGCTTTTATTAAAATATCAGCTTTTTATTTCTTTTCATACTTAAAAAGTTTTAAAAAACCCTTTTTTTAAAAAAAAAGTGAAGTACTAGAAAGCTGTTAGATGACTTGTGCACGTGGGCAGGGCTTGTTGATTGGGGCACTTCACTGCAAAATGATTAGGAGTATGCTAGCCTTCTCCCTGGAGGCCCCCTGAATATGGATATCTATAGGGTTTTCTTTGGGGCTTTTCAATTTTCTAGAGAGGATTCCTTTAATCTCCCTGCAAGATGGCAATTTGCATTATGGAAGGGGGGGGGATAAGAATGTTGGAGGGAGGTCCCACAGTTGAAGGTATAAACGTTCATTTTTAAACGTTCATTTAATCCCTATACCCCTTTGCTGGGCCTGGTATGCCAAGTCCAGCCACTCTCTGGTTGGTTTCTTCAGAGGGAAGTCCCCTTGTGAAGCTGATTGGGGGAGAGAAAGGGTTGTAACTTAGCTGCATGGGCCTGGGAGGGATCTTGGTACACAATAAATACAGATTTGCCACCAGCTCTTACCCCTTGCCATTGCCTGGGATACAGTGCTTCTGGTCCTGAACTTCACAGGGGTCTGTCAGGATGAACTGGGCTGAGCCTTGTCAGCTCCCTCTCTGTGGTCCCCAGAGTTCACCCTCCTCTGCTCTGCGCAGTCTGTCACCACTGTCACCTGTCCATCTTCTAAGACATGTCTTGTTTTTCCTCTGTCATTTTCTTTATGTTCATGGCTTAATGCCTATTTGATGCCTTTTCTACCCTCTTGGTGGGTCTTCAGGAGAGACATGTGGTCAGCCTGCAATGTTTAATCAATGAAATGGTCACTACCCAGTTGCCTAGCCTTAGAAATGCACAGCTATTGTCGAGCATCACCTCTCTGCCTCTCTTTGTTGCCTTGACCTTGGTGTAGCCCCTGAGTGTCATGCACCTGGACTCTGCTAAGTTTCCAAACTCGTCAGGCTACTAGTCTGCCTACAGACTCTCCCTGATCCCACTTCTCCTTCACATTGCCCACTGAATGACCTTTCTGAGATAAAACTCTCACCATGTTGCTCTTACTTAGAAACTCTGCTGGAATCTAACCCCTTCCATCTAAAGTCCCAGATCTATGTGAGATGCAGAGTTCTTCACTGTCCTGCCCTAATCCACCTTCCTAGCCACTGCTCATGACAACCCACGCCCTGCATGTGCCAGCTATGCCCAAACTGGCGTCTAAATATGTCCTGTTCTTTATTCCCTCCCGCGTTCACATATCCTGTTCTGCCTCCTCAAATTGCTTTCCCCTCCCCACTCCATTTGGAAAACTCTAACTTATTTAAAATCCATTTGACTTCTAAGACCCACTTTCACCCCTCCTGAGGACTCCCTGATTTTCTCCAATGTGCAACCATAACATTTGATTCATACTAGAAATATAAACTATTATCCCATGTTTATATCACATTTGTTTACACATTTGTCTTCAAGACTATTTATCTGTCTTAAGAAAAATAAATATTAGTTTCATTCCTTTGTCACTAAGCCATGAGTTTCCTTTCAGCACCAACCATGGCCTTTCACCTTTGTATTTATCACAACATTCCCATGAGTACACAGAATGTAGCAAACTCTTGGTAAAGCCTAGTTAAACTGATGACCAGTTGAACAAATGATGGCTAAAACTGAAACATTGATCAGTAAGTAGAATAGAAAGGGTTAAGCCATTGTAAGAAACTAATATTTGACAAACCAGATGCCATAAAAAAATAAGAATCAAATCACAATTGAATAAATATTCTTAAGAGTAAATGGATTTAACAATTAACTTTGGGCTGTATTTTATACCTCACATACACATGAATTTGTTATTTATAACAGCTGTGGAGGAGAGATATTTCTGACTGTTGTAGACATCATCAAAGACAAAAAGGATCTGATTAAATAGAAATAAAAAACATTTGCACAACACAGTGTCACAGAAGGAAACAATTATTCTGACAAACACAACCGATAAAAGCTTACCTTCCAAAGCATATTATTTTTAAAAACAGGAAGGTCAAAATCCAGATTTTACTAAAAAGATCAAGAGAGATGTCTATGTAGTTTATATGTGAAAAATCAGTGCCCAGACTCATTCATTTCCACTCAACAAATGAACTTTCATTTAATTAAATTAATTAATTAATTTATTTTGAGACAGAGTTTAACTCCTGTCCTTGGTAGAGTGCCATGGCATCATCAAAGCTCACAGTCCTGGGCTCAAGAGATCATCTTGTCTCAGCCTCCTGAGTAACTGGGATTACAGGCGCCCACCATGATGCCCAGCTAATTTTTCTGTTTTTAGTGGAGTTGAGGTCTTGCTCTTGCTTAGACTGGTCTGGAACTTCTGAGTTCAGGCAATCCACTCGCCTCAGCCTCCCAGAGTGCTAGGATTACAGGAGTGAGCCACCGTGCCCCACCTGAACTTTTATTAAGTGTTAAATACTGTTAGTAGCTAAAAGGCCAGCATGTATTGAGCACATCCTACCTATGTGCTTGGCACTGAGCTAAGCACTTAATATGGATTATTCCATTGAAACCTAGAATTCCGCTTAAATTCAGAAATATATGTTAAAATTGTTACTATCTTTTTGCAGACAATGAAACTGAGGCTTAGAGAAAGTAAACACTTGCTCAACATGTAAGACAGTCAGAATTTCAACCCAGGTCTGTCTGACTTTAGAAAAGTGTATGCCACTTGCTGTGAGAATCTGTTACGGACTAGGCCATGATATTGGTTAAATCAGCACAGATTAGACCACCTTTAAGATATCATTGCGTATCTATTAAGCTCTAAGAATTTAAATAAAAAATAGTAGACCTGTGATAACTAGGTATATGCGCACAAACGTCAATGGCTCCTCAGTTTAACTAGGCTTTATCAAGAGTTTGCTACATTCCTCCTGGACCTATAGACTACATTTTTGGGTCAAATTTGAGAAATCTTTGGCCATTATTTCTTCAAATAATTTTTCTGCCCTGTCATTTTCTCCTGTCCTCCGGAACTCCCATCACACATTTGTTGCGCGCTTGACACTGTCCCACGTGACTCTGAGGCCCTCTTCCTTTGTCTTCTACCTTTCCCACTCTGTCCTTCACTTTGGATAATTTCCATCTTCAAGTTCACTGACTCCTTCTTCTACCAAC